TCGTTAACTCCTCCTAAAACCGAACATTTTTTTTCTTTTTATTCGTGATATACAAATATGTAAAATCTCTCTTATGCTTTGCAACTTTATATGAATGATTCATGATAGAGATTTTATTTGACAAAAATATACTTTATATACAGGATGTCCGTTCATAGACATCTGAGCAAATATCTCACAACTGATTGAAGTTACAAGAAAGTTTAATAAGAGAAATTAGCACAGTTTTTAGTTCGCAATAAAGCGCATGTAAAAAATTTCTTTTTACTCGTAACTTTTTCAAGTTATGAAGATCACCATCGTTTTTTTAAATGGGACCCCCTATTTTTTATTGCATATTCTTATAGCTCTTCTTGAGACCTTTTCAAAACACTATAATAAAGTATTTTTCGAGTTATTTTTTATCTTAATCTGACATATTTTGATATAAAATACATATTTTGCGCATATTATGTATTTTATATTAAAATATGTCAGATTAAGATATAAAATAACTCGAAAAATACATAATGAAAAAATACCCTATTATATATGTTTTGAAAAGATCTCAAGAAGGACTATAAGAATATATAATAAAAAATAGGGGATTTTATTTAAAAAAACGATGGTGATCTTCATAACTTGAAAAGGTTACGAGTAAAAAAAAAATTTTTGCATTTGTTCAAATGTTAATTTTAAATTTTTATTAATTTATTGATCAAAAAATTACATATTATAAAGAAGGAAGAAGTGCAAAGAAAAGAAAATATATTATGTACTTTTAATTCATCTAGCTCGAAATATTATTTCCGTAGGAATCTCATATAATAATAATCTTTCCAATATGAATTAAAAAGATTTAAATCATTTACCGGCGCACAAATTATTTGTGTTTTTCAATCACTAATTAATTTCAACGCACCGCGCTTTCCTAGAGTTCGATTCTATCGAAAATTATACACCTCGTATAACGAGGAATATCCTAAAAAAAGAAAGGAAAGCTAAGACCACCTTTGCGGGAATGATTTTAACGAGCAGGCGGTATCTTTGTGATCATTTGTTTTACTACAAGGCGGAGCCAAAACAATTTATCCTTGCCTTTACCATTTAAAGATTCGTAAGCGTGCTATCTTGCTCCGATTCATCAATCGGATTCGAGTATCGATTTCAAATATTGTATTTCCGTACAGAAAAAAAATAGTAATCATAGTCTCTTCCTCTCTCTTTCTGCTTTTTGATATTCAACTTGATTATATTTAACTTTAACATGATTTATTTAGTAATGAATTTTAAAAAATTGAAATATTTTTCAGCAAATTTTATTTGAAAAAATAAGACATATATTGTTTTATAAAAATTAAATAATTTTTTAACTTTCAACGTAAATTTACTACTTATTGAATTATTATCGATCAATAATCGTAAATGGATCTTTTTATTCTATTATAACGCTTAGAAATAAATATTTCAAATCTATAATTTTAAGCTTATCTCTTCTAAGTTTTTCGGATATGCATTTTTTTTTTTTTTTCAAATTTGTATTATTTCAATCAGACAAATCAACGGCGTACAATTAGCAAGCGAATTTCATCGAGTGCATCAATTAGAAGAACTCATAACCTTGCCCTGTGCTAATTACCGCGCCAATTTTGTCCACGGTGTCGATCGTTCGTCTTCCTTCCTACTCTCCTTAGGCTGGTACTTCGGCCGGCCCTTTCGCTGCCCCGTTGCCGTCGATAAATAATCCTCCGTCAGACGTTCATTACGTCGTTAAGTTTCGGCTCGGACTTATATCCACCGTTCCTCTGCACGCGGAACCCAACAAGCGAGTTCGCCCGCGGCGATATAAACCTGGAAATATCACATGCCGCGTAAAAAGATCGCGGATGCTCCAGTTAATAAAGCATATCAAAATTAGTGCAAATAAGGAGTGAAAAGTGAGTTCGCCTCGATCAGAGATTGTCTGGAGCTTTGACAGGTCTTTTGACAGAGAAGTCATAACAAATGATAGAAATTTAAGTACTCATTTGAGAGGATTAAGGACGTGAAGAGAAAATTGCAATAAATATACTTTACAGAATCTTCAAGTTTCTTATTGATTGGATGTCAAGTATATATATATATACATATACTTATTATTATTTAGGGATTAAATTAAATTCTCAAATATATAAGAAGGATATTCTATTATTATTGTAAGGCAATTATTATAATTATAAAACATTATATAACAATTGTACATAATTGTATTGTGATGAAAGTATATTTATTTTTATTTTTAGGCAATTAATATCGCTCTACTTACAAATTGATATTGCGGTACGAATGTCCGAATTACTCTAATTATAAAGTAAGTTAATAAATGTCAACGCACATTCTCGTATTATTCACAGGTAGAAATTAAGAATAACCAACAAAAATGACTGACGGGTGCGACGAGTGATAGATCACTTTTGCAAGTCTCTGAAACGCGATACGCAAATGAATACCAAGCAGTTATCGATGTTGCAGAAATACGTATTTCGAGAGACGGCAGATTTCTTGCCACCGGCGATCCTTGCGTGCAGTAAAATGGAAACACAAAAGTAGGAATAACTCTTTGTTTATAACTCTCGGTTTGCGGAATGAATGGAACATTATCTTATACTTGCTTTGCAGTTTGCGCAATGCGTTTATAGCTCATTAATTTAAGAGACAGGTAAGTGGACGAGTGAATGCAACATGCGAACGTCAGATCTGTAAAAATTTAACGCGCAACCGTATTATGCGCGCCATCAATTCTGTTTCGTTTTTTTACCCGTATTAACATTGTCTAATTATCTTCTCGCGATCTCAAGTAACCTCTCTCTTTATTTATTTTTTTTTTATTTTATTTTATCACGATACTTCACGTATTTTTCACCGCGAGAGAAGTCCTTTCGTTTATGGGAAAGGATACTGATTTCCTAGGAATGGCGAAAAGTAAATTGCTAAGAGATATTAACATTTATCTATTTTTCTTTTGATTTTCACATTTCAAACTTTTAAAATTAAAGAAAATAGATAATTATAATAATAATTATAATAATACACTTTGATATTACATATTAAAGTGCATAATTAGTAAAGATAGTCAAATATACGTAATTAGGTCGGTATATGATGAGTTAAAGACACAAAGGATTGTGGTGCAATGGTATAAAAAATAAACGGGTTAAAGACATAGCTTTATTAGCGGGAAAGAAAGAAAAATCGAGGGAGAGAGAGAACGAGAAAGAGCGGCTCCTTCTTTTTAGATTATTTCCCGGCATTATTCGCCGAAGACATCGGCCAAAAAAAAAGGAACAAGCAGATCCGGCAACAGCTGCTTCGCTATTAAAAGCGACTTAAACTTCAAACCCTTTCTCTGCGATCGTAGAACGTGAAGATACCTCCCCTGCCCGTCACCCACTGTCTCTCTATTTCTCATCCACTCCCTTTTGCTTCTTTTTGTTCCTCTTTCTCTCTTCCTTGTCGTCATACCATCCCCTTCTCGTGATTACGCACAAACAAAGCGTAAAGCCACAAGTACGCGTATACGCGCCTGCGATTTCTTGCCTGTAAATAAGCGAATTGCTAAATGAGCCGTAAAGCCGCGCCTCAGGAATATAAAAGAAGAAGCAAAGGAAAAGGTCTCGCTGTTGGCCCTACATTAGAATTTAGAGCCGGCATCCCTCGTCTCGTGGCTCGAAAGCGCTGCGGGCTTGCGAAGAACGGCAGTAAAGAACGTTTAACAAGTATAGCCGTTTTTGAAATATTAAACGCGAGATGAGAAATGGACCGTGCTGTAAATAAAGAGATGTGCGCGCGGGGATCGACTATACTTACTATCCCCCTCCCCCCTTTAGGTATCTCAACAATTGTCGCAATTTGATGAAATTAATTAAGAAACGCGTTTTTCGTTTTTTTTTTGCATTTATTAATTATATTCGATATAGAAGATTTTTACGTGAATCGAGTGATAAATTAGTATAAACTGTCTAAAGTAGAGGTCTTTGTAGAGAGAATTTTTATGCGCATTTATTTTGAATAACTATTTTATTTACGAATAAAAAGAAATATATAGAAACATGATTATTATATATAAATAATTGATAATAGAAATATAAGATAGAGAAAAGTTCACAGTACTTCGTAGATTCACGTTCATCGACAAAGTGGACGTCGCGAAAGTTCAAAATTCTCTATTTGCATGAGACACGATTAATTAATACGATACCGGTAATTAAATAGATATCAACCTTCTCAGCGCACAACGACGGCGTCCCATCTGCATAATCTCTATACAATAACGTCAGTGAAAAGAAGAGTTTTGTCCCACCAACGATAAACTTTTTGCCACCCTCCTACACCCTACGGTCAACACCCGCTACGCCGTTAATAAAGATATATAGGGTGATTCGCAATTAGCATATGAAACGTTAAGGATACAATATTTATTTAGATCTGAAACAAATGCTCACAAAACAAATTGAGATATTAATCTGTTAAAAATGAAAATAAATCTCTTCATGCAAATTTAAAAATATATAATAAATCTTACTTTAACAGAATTCTAAATTTATTTTTATCCTAAATTTAATAGAATATTCATCAATTTTTCGTAACAATGAAAAATTGTAACAACGTGTAATATATTTCGGCATTCTTTCATGAGGATTCCTGTGTTTTAACAAGGAATATATCTTCAATCTTTCATAAAATCACTACCACTACTTTGTATAGACAGCAATTTTGAATCACCATATATACAAAATAGTGGCAGTGATTTTTCAAGAACATTCGCAATTTTCTTGTCACGAATAAAGAATGTTATTAATAATAAATTATTTTCTATTTATTTATAAATCATATTAAAATTGTATTAATTTAAATGGTAAAAATTTGAATTTATCAAAATTGTATTTTAATATTATAAAATATTAAAATATATTAATATAAATGAATTACGCACAATTAAGCGTAATTATTCAGAAATTATTAATGCGAAGTATGCTCCTCTCTTTTTTTCTTGTTATATTTTCAAGATGATCAGCACTTTACCACTTCATAATCCAAGTCGAATGAAGCGTCGTTACGGCGTAACTTCATTCATCGTAATGCATTTCGCTGATCGACTGATAGTTATCCGGCAACCAGGGCATCCAAGTGTCGTTAAAGTTACTCGGAAAGCCAGCCGGATCGACGGGTGCGTTCGTCTGGTTCATGAGGACCGATTTATAGCGGTCGATGAACATGTTCAATCTCTCCACGTCCTGCAAATGGAACGACGTATTCTTGAATTATCTCTCTGCTATCGCTCCCATCTCGTCTGTACCGACGATGAGTACCGACGTTTACATAATAATAATTCACACGAGAGTTATTTTTTTCCTAGCAATCGTAAAGTTACAAATATGGATATTGGATACACATTTTACTGGCACGCTTAATTTAATAGTCATTACTATCTTAATACAATATTATTGGCACAGCTATTGTAACTCTCTCTCTTTCTCTTCTCTAAAAAGTCTCCGTGAAACTTTAGAATGCATTTATATATTCAGATTAGAAATTATTAATTTCTCGCGTCACGTATTGATCATATTAAAAATCATTTCATATATAATTTATAATCTATTTTTACTGATCTATTTTTTTAATTGTTTAAAATATAAATATTAAATGTATAAATATGTATTTATATTTTTTTCAATCTTAATTTAATATTACCTTAAGATACTTCGAGGATAGATCCATAGTTTCACAAGGATCCTCATAGACATTGAACAAGCAGGTGCGATTCATACAATTAGAGAAATTTGTAAAATTCTTGCAAACTACTGTGGCCTCTTTCCGCAGCTGCATTATTTTATTTGCGTTTAACACAAAAGTCGAAATACTCGCGATAGCTGATGCAGCTGAGGACGCTAGTACGTTCGTTGCATTGTACTTGGGATACAATGCGTTGTTACCGCTATAATTATAATACTTCTGGTACTCGGACTTATCTATAGAGAAAGAAAAAAATATACAAGTATATATTTTTCATATTATTTTTACGCTACGCAATATAAGGGGAAGAATTATTCAAAATTAAATGGTGATAAATAATATATGAAGAAGTTTATTCATATATTACTACTATATATGTTTTTACCTCTAACAAGTTTATAAGATCCTATTAATGCTGCTTCGCTATTAGTCTTCTCGTCAATATTTATGAGAATTGACTTCCGTTTGCCATCTCTCGCGCTCTTGATTACGGACCACTGATCAATGCCATCCAATTGTTTCAGATCTTTCGGATTACCGCCAGCCGCGGAATATAATGTCGGCAACCAATCAGTAATATGAAACAATTGAGTGGAAACTCTCGAGGGATGATCAATCAAGGGTGAGTAGATGCACGCTGCGCCGCGGATGCCTCCTTCGAAAAGACTGAATTTCAACTAGAAATAAATAAATTGTTTCAATTAATTTTATATGCAACTTTAGAATCTGTATAAATCTTAGGTCTTCCCCCGTCGTAACTTTTTTATCTAAATAACTATTTTTGCAAACGCTCGACATAACGCTGACTTGTATCGTTCTCATTTAGCAATATTAAGAGAAAATCATGAGCGAATATAAATCAAACATAAAATTATAGTCTCGTTATATGTTTATACAAAACTGCATTTACCCCTCTAAGCGGATAATTAGATCCGGAATTTTGCATTATTCCTTTAGTTTGCGCTCCATTGTCGGCTATGAAAATGATGATCGAGTTTTTCAACATATCTCTTCTCCTCAGAGCATCGATCACCCGGCCGACTGATTCATCTAATGTGGCAACGACACCTACAGACAAACGTTTATAATTTCAAACATTATAAAATCAAATCATTGGTATTGGCAAAAACGCATACATTGTAACATTAATAAACAATTATTATAATTGATTCAATTTGAAATGATAGAACTAATTGATAAATTAAGAAATTATCTTAAAATTACGATTAAATAAACATAAGAGAAAAAGAAACACAATTTTTCTCATCTTTTACGTAAATTTGATTTGATGTTTACATGTTAACGCGATACTTATGATAATTGCAACCAAAAAAAGGGATATTATGTAACATACTTGCGTACTTTCTTCTATTTATGTCTTCGATGTAACCGAGAGTGGTATTTGTTTCTGTCCAATTGCGTACTTGCATTGCGTCTTCGACACCGCTAGAATGGGGCGCAAGATGTGTCAGTTGCAAATATAGAGATTTCGCAGGATTATGCGATGAAATAATATTTTCAGCCTCATTGGTTATAAGATCAGTTATATAGTCGTAGTTATATTCAATCCTGTGATTATCACCCACGATACGATGCAAATCATAGCCCAATTGTTTCTGTAAAATAATTTTGTGTTTAATTCCATTTTTTTTTTTTTTTTTTAATAATTTACTTATTTATAATGTGTGATGAAAAAGAAAACTATAAACTTTATTACTGTGCGATTCTACGATTACGATTCTACATATTCTAGATTCTAGATGATTAAACTTTTCGGCAGTTGTGGCAAGTAATAATTCTGTTATTACTGCATTGTAGGATAATGTATATACATCTAACAAGATATTTTATAATATTAGCATCTTCTTCCCCAAATAATAACACAAAACTTACACTTTCGTACAATATATGATTGAAATATTGGATGAAACCGGAATAATATCCAACAAAAGTGTCGAAACCACGACGAGTAGGTCCGTGATTCCTTGTATAATAACCAACATGCCATTTTCCCACCAGATGAGTGGCATATCCGAATTTTCGAAGATACTCGGGTAAAAGAATATTGTTCAAAGGTATACCACGTGGCTCAGCTCCTCGCAAGGGATAGCCTTGCATACCTAAATATTGAATACGTTTTAATTGAATTAAATTTTAATTGATCTCTTTTTATAAATAGTTTTGAAGCGTATTTTTATGCTGTAACATAAAATTATAATCATTACCGAAAGAATTAATAAAGATATAAATTTTAAATAAAGGAATATATGAACGTAAACTTTCGCGAGAAAACTATCACTGGATTGGAATATCAAGTTGACACAATTTTGAATATTTTTATCGATAAACGTATCAATAAGATGCAAGTGATTTTCGAAAGTTTGCTGTATCGTACATTAAAATACGCCACCTTATTAGATATGCTTAATTAGATTACCTGTCCTTATGGGATATTTCCCAGTAAGAAAAGCTGTTCTCGATGGTGTGCATATTGGTAGTACATAATGTCGATTTAGTATCACGCCATTGTATGCGAGAGCATCTATGTTTGGTGTAGGAATCTCATCGGCGCCGTGGAAGCTAACATCGTTCCATCCCTTATAATTATCAAAATATGTAATAACAAACTACATTTTATAATTTACATTTAATGGTGCATTTTAATGTAAGCTGCCTTTATTTTTTGAACTGTCTTTATTTTTTCCTAAATGACTACTATCTCTCGTATATCTCTCGTTGCGAAATTTTAAAATTAATGCTAATGCGATAACTCGTTAGTCAACTTCATAAATAAGCAGACTAAATATAGCATCGTATAATTTTGTCTAGCTATGTGTCTTATATATTATACAGAAACGTGTTTCGCTGAAACTGAATTTCAAAGAACCATTAAGAAGGAGACTTGAAAAAGTAATAGAAGATGTATGATTTGAAAGAAAGTAATTTGCTGTTAATCTTAATAATATTTAACATATAAAAAACTTTTAAGAAGAACATATATTCTAGAATTGAACTGTTAATTAAATTATATATTTTTTTAAATAAACATTGAGAAAATCTATGTCAAAAAAATTTCTTTGTAAGTATTGTTAGGTTTCTCCATAAATATATTAAGCTATGCAATTATA